GATTGTTCTCTTGTCTTCTTCATTAGTCTTGCTAGCGGTCTATCAATTTTGTTGATCTTTTCAAAACACCAGCTCCTGGATTCATTGATTTTTTTGAAGGGTTTTTTGGTATCTCTATCTCCTGCAGTTCTGCTTTGATGTTAGTTATTTCTTGCCTTCTCCTAACTTTTAAATTTGTTTGCTCTTGCTTCTCTAGTTCTTTTAATTGTGATGTTAGGGTGTCAATTTTAGATCTTTCTTGCTTTCTCTTGTGGGCATTTAGTGCTATAAGTTTCCCTCTACACACTGCTTTAAATGTATCCCAGAGATGCTGGTACGTCATGCCTTTGTTCTCATTGGTTTCAAAGAACGTCTTTATTTCTGCCTTCATTTTGTTATTTACCCAGTAGTCATTCGGGAGCAGGTTTTTCAGTTTCCATGGAGTTGTGCAGTTCTATGTGAGTTTCTTAATCTTGAGTTCTAATTTGATTGCACTGTGGTCTGAGAGACAATTTGTTATAATTTCTGTTCTTTTACATTTGCTGAGGAATGCTTTACTTCCAACTATGTGGTCAATTTTGGAATAAGTGTGATGTGCTGAGAAGACTGTATATTCTGTTGATTTAAGGTACAGAGTTCTGTAGATGTCTATTAGGTCTGCTTCGTGCAGAGCTGAGTTCAAGTCCTGGATATCCTTGTTATCTTCTGTCTCCTTGATCTAATATTGACGGTGGGGTGTTAAAGTCTCCCATTATTATTGTGTGGGAGTCTAAGTCTCTTTATAGGTCTCTCAGGACTTGCTTTATGAATCTGGGTGCTCCTGTATTAGGCGCTTATATATTTGGGATAGTTAGCTCTTCTTGTTGAATTGATCCCTTTACCATTATATAATGGCCTTCCTCGTCTCTTTTGATCTTTGTTGGTTTAAAGTCTGTTTTATCAGAGACTAAGATTGCAACCCCTGCTTGTTTTTGTTTTCCATTTGCTTGGTAGATCTTCCTCCATCCCTTTATTTTGACACTATCTGTGTCTCTGCACATGAGATGGATCTCCTGAATACAGCACACTGGTGGGTCTTGACTCTATCCAATTTGCCAGTCTGTGTCTTTTAATTGGGGGCATTTAGCCCATTTACATTTAAGGTTAATATTGTTATGTGTGAATTTGATCCTGTCATTATGATGTTAGCTGGTTATTTTGCTCGTTAGTTGATGCAGTTTCTTCCTAGCATTGATGGTCTTCACAATTTGATACGTTTTTGCAGTGGCTGGTGCCAGTTGTTCCTTTCCATGTTTAGTGCTTCCTTCAGGAGCTCTTGTAAGGCAGGCCTGGTGGTGACAAAATATCTCAGCATTTGCTTGTCGTAAAGGATTTTATTTCTCCTTCACTTATGAAACTTAGTTTGGCTGGATATGAAATTCTGGGTTGAAAATTCTTTTCTGTAAGAATGTAGAATATTGGCCCCCACTCTCTTCTGGCTTGTAGAGTTTCTGCCAAGAGATCCGCCGTTAGTCTGATGGGCTTCCCTTTGTGGGTAACCTGATCTTTCTCTCTGGCTGCCCTTAACATTTTTTCCTTCATTTTAACCTTGGTGAATCTGACAGTTATGTGTCTTAGAGTTGCTCTTCTAGAGGAGTATCTTTGTGGTGTTCTCTGTATTTCCTGCATTTGAATGTTGACCTGCCTTACTAGATTGTGGAAGTTGTCCTGGATAATATCCCGAAGAGTGTTTTCCAGCTTGGTTCCATTCTCCCCATCACTTTCAGGTAAGCCAGTCAAATGTAGATTTGGTCTTTTCACATAGTCCCATATTTCTTGGAGGCTTGGTTCATTTCTTTTTACTCTTTTTTCTCTAAAGTTATCTTTTCGCTTCATTTCATTCATTTGATCTTCATACCCTTTCTTTCACTTAATCGAATCAGCCACTGAAGCTTGTGCATGCGTCACACAGTTCTCGTGCCATGGTTTTCAACTCAAGATGGGGTTTCATCATGTTGGTCAGGCTAGTCTCGAACTCGTGACCTCAGGTGATCAACCCACCTTGGCTTCCCAAAGTGCTGGGATAACAGGCATGAGTCACCGCACCTGGCTAATTTTCCTGTTTGTCTCCAGAAATGTTCCTACACTGAAGTCGTGTTTTCTGATATTAATATTGCAACACCAGTTTTCTTATGATTAGTGTTTGCATGGCATATGACTTTCTACCCTTTTATTTTGAACTATTTTTGTTTTGTCATTTAAAGTAAGTTTCTTGTAGACAGGATGTAGTCAGGTCTCTTTTTAATTATTAAAATTGAGAAAAAATTCACATAAAATTCACGATTTAAAACATTTTAAAAATATACAATTTAGGCCAGGCACGGTGGCTCACACCTGTAATCGAAGCCCTTTGGGATGCCGAGGCGGGCAGATCATGAGGTCAGGAGATTGAGACCATCCTGGCTAACATGGTGAAACCCTGTCTCTACTAAAAACTACAAAAACAAAATTAGCTGGGCATAGTGGTGGGCGCCTGTAGTCCCAGCTACTTGGGAGGCTGAGGCAGGAGAATGGCCGGAACCCAGGAGGCAGATCTTGCATTGAGCCAAGATTGTGCCACTGCAGTCCAGCCTGAGCGACAGAGCAAGATTCCATCTCAAAAAAAAAAAAAAATGTACAATTTAGTGGTTTTTAGACTATTCACAATGTTGTACAGCTGTCATCTCTGTTTAGTCCCAGAACATTTCCATCCCCCCAAGAAGAAATTCATACCTGTTAGCAGTCAATTCCAATTCTCTCCTTGCTCCAACCCCTGGCAATCACTAATTTACTTTATTTCTCTGTGGATTTTCATATTATGGATATTTCATATAAATGCAATATGCAATATGTGGCTTATTGTGTCTGTCTTCTTTCAGCATGTTTTGAGAGTTCATCTATGTTGTAGCATGTATCTTTCTTTCACTTCTTATGGTTGAACAAGATTTCATTGTATGACTGTAATTACATAAATTATCCAGTTCATCAGTTGATAGGCACTTGGGTTGTTTTCACTTTCTGGCTATTTTGAATAATGCTGCTATGAACATTCATGTACAGCTCTTTGTGTGAACGTATGTTTTCCCTTCTCTTGGGCATATACATAGGAGTAGAATAGCTGAGTCATGTGGTAACTCTATTTTTAACTTTTTGAGGAACTGCCAAACTGTTTCTCACAGTGGCTGCACCATTTTGTTTTCCCAATAGATTTCACTTAAAAAAAATGTATAACATACTCTTTTATTTAGTTGTGTTTATATTATTTACATTAAATGAAATTATTGATATTGTCAGATTTAAATCTATCATCTTGCTAGTTGTCTGCTATTTATTTAATTTGTCCTTTATTCTCTTTCTGTCTTTTTCTGCCTGCTCTTGAATTGGTGGGGTTTTTTTTGGTTGTTGTTTTGTTTTTGTTGTTGTTGTTGTTGTTATTGTTGAGACAGAGTCTCACTCTGTCGCCCAGGCTGGAGGCTGGAGTGCAGTGGTGCAATCTCAACTCATTGCAACCTCCGCCTCTCAAGTTCGAGCAATTCTCCTGCCTCTGCCTCCTGAGTAGCTGGGACTACAGGCATGCACCACCACGCCCAGCTAATTTTTGTATTTTTAAGTAGACACAGGGTTTCACCATACTGGCCAGGCTGGTCTCGAACTCCTGACCTTGTGTTCTGCCCACCTCGGCCTCCAAAAGTGTTGGGATTACAGTACCACGCTGGGCCGAATTGGGTTTTTTTTTTTTTTATTTCTAAACTCAATATTATCTCTACCATTGGTTTATTTATACTTCTTTTTGACTTTTTAGTGGTTGACATAGAATTTATAATGCATGCCTTAATTAATCACAGTTTGCCTTCAAATAACATCACTCACATGGAATGTTAGAACTTTACAATAGTACACTCCAGTTCCTCCCTCCTCCTATCTGTTGTTCTATCATTTTCTTATATTTCACCTTTACACATGTTGTAAACCCAAAGTAGTCTTTCTATTTTTTGCTTTAAAGAGTTGGCTATGTTTTAGAGCAATTAAAACAAGGGAAAAAAGTCTTTTATCTTCATCATTTCTTTGTGTAATTTAAATTTCTGTCTAGCTCTGATTCTTTCTGAAGAAATTTTTCTAACACCACTGTTTATATTTGTCTGAAAGTCTTTATTTCTTTTTTATGTATGAAAGATAGTTCCATAACATATAAAGTTCTGGTTTGACAATTTTTTCAGCACTTTAAATATTTCTTTCCACTATTTTCTAGCTTGCATAATTCCTGATGAATAGTCTACTCTAATTCTTGTATTTGTTGCTCTGTATGCAACATGTCTTTTTACATCTGGTTGTCTCTAAGATTATCCCTTTATCTTTCACTTTTAGCACTTTGAATATGATGTATCCAGGTGGTTTTATTTTTGTCGCTCTTATTTATCCTGGTTATGGTTCTCTGACCTTCTCAGATCTGTGGCTTCATGTCTTACATTATTTTGGAAAAATGTTAACCATCTTCAACCAATGTCAACTCTCCAAATATTTATTTGGTTTCTCTCTTTTATCTGTCATTTCCACCCCCAGCCCCAGCCACTGGGATTACTATTCTACATAGGGTAGACCATTTGATATGATACCACAGCTCTTGGGTGCTATGAGCCGTTTTTAATTTCCCACATTTTTCTTTTTGTCTTTCAATTTGGATAATTTCTATTGACCTACATTCAATTTCACCGACTTTCCTTGATGTTTTGAGTGCATTGAAAGTAATCTTTATCTCTGTTACCATGTTTCATTTCTAGTATTTCCATTAATTTCTTATAATTTCCATTTCTCTGCTGAAATGCTGTCTTTTTGTGCATGTTGTTAATTTTTTTCCCACTAGAACCATATTAATTGTAGTTATTTTAAGTTACTTGTCAGATAATTTTAATGTCTACATTATCTCTTGAATCTTGTTCTTTTGTTGCATTGTTTTTTTGACAGTGAGTTCATTTTTTCTTGCTTTTGTATGTCTCTTTCTCTCTTTTTTAATGAAATGCTTCATGAATTTGTCTGTCATCCTTGCATAGGAGCCATGCTAATCTTCTCTGTATCATTCTAATTTTAAGAGTATGTACTGCCAAAGTGAGCACTTTCCTAATGTTCTAATTGCCAGAGAGTGTGTAGAACAGTAAGATTCAGGTAAGTCATATTTATGCCTGAAAATGGGCAGGCATTTTTTTTTTTTTCTTCTTCCATTATTGTGTATGTTGGAGAAGGTTGTGTCAAACTTGTCAGGAGTGGAGCTGGTTTATGTTTTCCTGTTGCTGGGTTTGTCTTCAGTGTGCTACTGGCTTCATTCCTCTGCTATTACTTTATCATTAGGGTGAGGGTTAGTTTGCTGGATAGTTTTTCTTGAGGTTTATAATCCCACCCTCAGGTTTTAGCCTTCCCTGTGTTCCTGAGTTTCAGAATAGGTCACTCTCCAAGGTATCTTACTTGCCAACAGCAAACTGTTGGTGTTTGATTTTCCTGCTGATGAGGCCAGGGGAATTCCCTGTTGTCTTAGTTTAGCCTCATTCTTCAGTAGATCCTGTGTCCCTGTGTCTAAGGATGGTGCTTTCTTAATCCTTTTACTCCAGTACTAGCAAAAAATTTCTAATGGTCTAGATCCAGAATGGTTTCATGGCTCCTCCCCCAGCGGTTGGAAGTTTTTTCCTCCCCAGCTTCCAGCTCACTTGTGGTCTAGGGATGACATGGTTTGCTATCCACCCCTCCAAACCCCATACCCCAGTTGTTTAGGTCTTTTGTTCTTAGTGGAGAAAGGACCAAGCATAGCATGATATCTTTCCCACAACTTGGCTACTACCATTTTCTAAGGCTCATCTTCGTTGGATGCTTCTTCTGGTCTCTTGCTTTGTCCCCAATCTTTCTAATGAACACTTCATGAGCCCTAGGGAGAAGAACCTATGAATGGGCGCTAATTCATGTCATGTACATGGCTCCAAAGGATTTTATACTCTTATTTTAGCTCACATCAGCCTTTAGCAATTTGTTTAGAATTTTTAGCTGAATTAATCTTACACACTTTTTAGTGGCCCTGTCTTCCTGGTTATACCTAGGTGAGTCAGCCTCTTGCCCATTGTGCTATTATTGTTGTATATTTTGTTTGTCTATATTTTATTAACCCACATGATTTTATTATCATTTTTTTTAAGTGCTCAACATTCCCTTGTATTACCAATAGATTTAACTTTTCTGAACTGTACCTTTTCTAAATTCCTTCATGTAGTACTGTACTTCCATTCATTCTTGTTTAGCTTTAAAAAATTGTATCTTTTTTCTTATGGTATAGTTCTGCTTGCAATAAATTGCCTTCATTTTTCAAAGAGGTTCTAACTGAGTATAGAACTCTATACTCACTTTTATAGTTGGCAGTTATATTTTCCTTTAGCACTTTACATATGCCATTCTATTGCCTTTGGCTTCCAAAAATTTTGTTGAAAAGTCAGTCTTATGTCCTGTTGCTTCTTTGAAGGCAACATGTCTCTTTTCTCTGTTTTTACAATTTTCTCTTTTTCATTAGTTTTCAGCTATTTGACTACATTCTTGGGTGTGGTCTCCTTTGTATTTTTCTTGGACTTCTCTAAACTTCTTTTTTTTAATTTTAATTTTTTATTTTATTTTACTTTAAGTTCTGGAACACATGTGCTGAATGTGCAGGTTTGTTACATAGGTATACATGGGCCATGTGGTTTGCTGCACCTATCAACCTGTCATCTAGGTTTTAAACCCTGCATGTATTAGGTATTTGTTCTAAGGCTCTCCCTCCTCTTGCCCCCCACGCCCCGACAGGCCCCAGTGTGTGATGTTCCCCTCCCTGTGTCCATGTGTTCTCATAGTTCAACTCCCACTTATGAGTGAGAACAGGCAGTGTTTGGTTTTCTGTTCCCATGTTAGTTTGCTGAGGATGATGGTTTCCAGCTTCATCCATGTCCCTGCAAAGGACATGAACCCATTCTATTTTATGGCTGAATAGTATTCCATGGTGAATATGTGCCATATTTTCTTTATCTAGTCTATCACTGATGGGCATTTGGGTTGGTCCAAGTCTTTGCTATTGTAAAGGGTGCTGCAGTAAACATACGTGTGCATGTGTCTTTATACTAGAATGATTTATAATCCTGTGAGTATATACCCAATAATGGGATTGCTGGGTCAAATGGTATTTCTGGTTCTAGATCCTTGAGGAATCACCGCACTGTCTTCCACAATGGTTGAACTAATTTACATTCCCACCAACAGTGTAAAAGCATTCCTATTTCTCTGCATCCTCGCCAGCATCTGTTGCTTCCTGATAGCCATTCTAACTGGTATCAAATGGTATCTCATTGTGGTTTTGATTTGCATTTCTCTAATGACCAGTGATGATGAGCCTTTTTTCATGTTTGTTGGCTGCATAAATGTCTTCTTTTGAGACTTGTCTGCTTGTATTCTTCACCCACTTTTTGATGGGGTTGTTTGTTTTTTTTTCTTGTAAATTTGTTTAAGATCCTTGTAGATTCTGGATATTAGACCTTTGTCAGATGGATGGATTGCAACAATTTTCTCCCATTCTGTAGGTTGCCTGTTCCTCTGATGACAGTTGTTTTGTTTTTGCTGCATAGAAGCTCTTTAGTTTAATTAAATCCCATTTGTCAATTTTGGCTTTTGTTGCGATTGCTTGTGGTATTTTAGTTATGAAGTCTTTGCCTGTGCCTATGTTCTGAATGGTATTACCTAGGTTTTCTTCTAGGGTTTTTAGGTTTTACGTTTAAGCCTTTAATCCATCTTGAGTTAATTTTTGTGTAAGGTTTAAGGAAGGGGTCCAGTTTCTGTTTTCTGCATATGGCTAGCCAGTTTTCCCAGCACCATTTATTAAATAGGAAATCCTTTCCCCATTGGTTGTTTTTATCAGGTTTGTTGAAGATCAGATGGTTGTCGACGTGTGGTGTTATTTCTGAGGCCTCTGTTCTATTCCGTTGGTCTGTATCTCTGTTTGGGTACCAGTACCATGCTGTTTTGGTTACTGTAGCCTTGTAGTATAGTTTGAAGTCAGGTAGTGTGATACCTCCAGCTTTGTTCTTTTTGCTTAGGATTGTCTTGGCTATATGGGCTTTTTTGGTTCCATATGAAATTCGAAGTAGTTGTTTTTTTCTTATGTATTTATTTCATTAGAGAATTAGGTAAATCTCACATTACATGGCCAAGGCCAAAAAATTTTGCACAGTTAGAATGTGTTGAAGACACCAGCCTCAATTTAACCGGATTAGATTTCAACAAGGAGATGACTGTATTCCTCCAAATAACCTTCATTTAGGAAGATGACATTCCTCCAATATGTGGAAAGACAGTAAATGCTCTTTCTGCTCTCTGCCACTGAGGAAGAAATTCTCCCTCTTGAGGGACCAACACTATTTCTTTTTTTTTTTTTTCTCTTTTCCCTTTTCCTTTCTTTGGTTTCCCCTTTCCACGAAGCTTCTTTAGTCATTTTTGCTCATCCTTAAAATCCTGATGCTCATCTCTTTATTATAGATTCTGGTACTGCTTTAAAATTTTCAATATTTTTATTTGATCTGTCTATTTTTTCCTATATGTTCTTTACAATATTTATTATTGTCATTTTTATCTCTTTGTATGATAAACATTAATATCTATAGCATTTGTGGGCCTGCTTCTATTGTCTATTTTTAAACCTGATTATTGCAAATATTATCCTTTCTCCTTGTATGTCTTGTAATGCCAGATATAGTGTATGAAAGTATCATAGAGAAGGAGATGATGTATATTCCACTAGCAAGTGTTTCATCTTTTCTCTGCAAGGCAAGTAATGTGAAAGGCTGATTCCCTCAATCCAAAAAAGATTAGGTTAGTTGCGGGCTGCAGTTTTAGTAAATTACAGTGTACCACTGGAGTGTCTTTGGGCCTATCATCCATTTTGACTGAGTTTGCCATATTTTGTTCCCCAGCTTGGGTACTGTGGGAGATTCATTTCTTTCCTTAAGAAATTTTGAGATGAGCTTTTTAGTGTCTGCTTTCTAGAAAATGTCTTTATGGGGATATGGCTAGTATTTTTGAAGCAGTTCTTCCTTATGGGACTTTCTCTCTTAAACACCACATTTATTCTGCCTTTTAGAAGCTTATGGCTGAACTTTTCCACTTTCCCCACAGGCCCAAAATTCAGTAAATATCTCATGAGGAAAGTTTGTCATATGTTTTGGGTTCCTCAAAATTTCAATCTATCATGACAACCTCAACTACCAAGAGATCCACTGTTTCTTTTTCCCTCCATCTGCATCAAGTTCAGTTCTTAATCCAAGCTTAGAATTAGCAAATATCCTAGGGGTAAGAAAATTGATTGGTAGCAAAATCTTATTAAAAAGGAGTCTTCCTCCTCTGGAATATTATCTAGTCCTTGCTTCTGCATTACTCTGATGTCTTTAAAAATACGATATTTGTCATTTATTTATTTTTCCTCTAATTGCTGCATTTGGAGCATTGGTTTGATATGACATTTTAAATTTGCTCATAACATACATACATATATATGTATTTTTTAATTTTAAGGGGAAAAAAGCATGCATGTACTTGCCAGTGACAAGGATTTTTAAAATGCTTTACTTGGTATTTGCATACAGAAATGTACCTCAGGAGTTTATAATTTTCTCATTTCAATGAGTTTCTTCACAGAATTGGAAAAAACTGCTTTAAAGTTCATATGGAACCAAAAAAGAGCCCACATCTCCAAGACAATCCTAAGTCAAAAGAACAAAGCTGGAGGCATCATGCTACCTGACTTCAAACTATACTACAAGGCTACAGTAACCAAAACAGCATGGTACTGGTACCAAAACAGAGATATAGACCAATGGAACAGAACAGAGTCCTCAGAAATAATACCACACATCTACAGCCATCTGATCTTTGACAAACCTGAGAGAAACAAGAAATGGGGAAAGGATTCCCTATTTAATAAATGGTGCTGGGATAATTGGCTAGCCATAAGTAGAAAGCTGAAACTGGATCCTTTCCTTACTCCTTATACGAAAATTAATTCAAGATGGATTAGAGACTTAAATGTTAGACCTAATACCATAAAAATCCTAGAGGAAAA